GACCTCTTGAGAAGATGTTGCTATGCAAACATTTACCGATTCTGTTGGCACCAGGTTTTTTTTAACAAGGCCTTTAGACTAGTACCGGTGTATGTCAGACAGCATGGTTGTATCACCAGCAGTATTTGAAACAAGTGAGTGAGTATTGTTGACCGTTTTACGCCGCTTATAGCAATATTCCAGCAATATCACTGCTGGAGACACCTGAAATGGGCTTCACACATTGTACCCATGTGGGTAATCGAACCCAGGTATTCAGCGTGACGAGTGGATGCTTTAACCATTTGAAAAATATGCTCTGTTCACCCAGCAGTGAATGGGTACCAGGTAGGAGGAGATGGTCATGTGACAGTAGGAATTACTGGAAAAATCTGTAATGGGTATTGGCCTAAAATTCACATTGCAATTTACTGCAATAATGATTTATATATTTTTATATATACCCTCCGCAATAAACTGCATGTATTCTTTCATCTGTAACTTGTTATGAGATGGAATAAAAAAGCTGCCATACATGATTCTCCCTACTCAGGAGGGACATTTTTTATACCTCATCTGCCATTTTGTTGGATGCTACTACAGTCACAGCACATAGGATCTACACATTAAATACAGGAAGCTGACTGCGAATAGTTTTGCTAATTTCTGCATTTCATAATTTCATTTTAACTTGTCACTTATCCTAACTATGCATGAATTTGAACTTTATAAAAATAAACTGGTATTTCCTAAGCTGGAAAACAATGCACCTATAGTCAAAAGATGGAGTCCACAGAGATTGGCTAAGAAGCCTGAAAAGAAATATGACTAGAACGATTTTCAGACCCAAGTCTACAGTTGTAGACACATCCACTTATATTTAAAACATGCACCGTCTGATAACAATGCAAGCAAGTGGTGAAATGACACCACACACTGTCATGCCTGGGATGGAGAAATGATTAAAGCTGAGTATTAAGTTACAGACTGACAACAAACTGGTATTATGATTCAATGCAACGAAACGTATGAATGAAATCACTGAATTACAAAGTTCTCTAAACCCTCTTCCTTTTTTATTGTATGCCTGCTGCGTCTTAACTGCTCAACATTATAAGTATTATTTTTTTTCTGTTTGAGAACCTTTCATACCTGAAATGAAGGCTAAAATGCAGTGGGGGGTCCACTATTTCCACTATGTCCTTGCGTTCTGCTATGCTTACGGAATTGGTTGAAATCTCACAATGATGATTGGTTCATTACGAACGAACAATCATCAAGAAAATTTGGTTAGTGTCATTTTTCAGATTTTCTTATTCAGGTGGTTATAGGTAGATAAGTATAATGTGGTTCTCTGGTTGTTTTTTATGTTGCATTTGAAAATTGCAAAATCATGTAAAATGATGCAACTTGGTACTTTAAAGTGATGACTAATATATCATGAACATAAACTCCCGGGAGTCTTCAAGAAATATTCAGTCGTGACTTTTCAGTAAGTGAAGTGAGTTTTCTAAGAATTAAACACGTTTTCAGACCCTGACAACTACTAAGGTATGTACCATCCTCAAGTGTTTCAAGTACTAAAATAGTAGATCCAAAATCGTATGTGTTCGATTATGAGAAAATGTGATCGATTGCTTGGTCACTGCGACCAATCTTCGATTATTAAATGATTATTTCAAATAATCGGAAGACCACTCATGTTTTCATCCTTTACAAACTCTGCTACAATTCCCATCGGCGGTAACTCCATCCAGAGCTACGGATAACTTTCTGGGTTATAGAGTTATGAACTCGCTTGTGTTCATCTCAATTGGGCATCCTAATTTTCCTTTGAGTAACCAAATAAATTGTAACAACCTCACTCAATTGTGTATTTTGCCATTTTCCATTAATTGCAAAAATATAATAAAGTTTACACATTGGTTCACGTGTTTGTTATTTATATTTGGCCTGTAATATGATAAACGATCAAAAAGAGAGCAAGTTGCCAAGTTCATGTGCTGAAAAAGAACCTCTTATTTTATCTTTCCACTGGTACGCAAGCTAAGATTTTACATTTTTGTGTGTATGTATGTAAGCTCAAATTTATTGAGCATTTACAAAAATTCAAATGTACATGTACGCAATAGACTTAATAGGAATTGAATCTTCCCATAAATATTTGCATAATTTACGCAGATACGCAGTTTATCTGTACCTCTGTCCATCAGTTAATGTTCTATTTGTTATATACAGTCAAACCCCATTTATCCGGACATTTTGGTTACACTCGGAAAACGTCCGGATAGTGAAGCGTCCGGTTAACGTGATCAAACAAGCAAAACGTATTGACAATGCACATTGATAACACGTTATATACAGTACAATTACAATGTACCGTATATTACCGTAGATAAGCCAACCCCATAGATAAGCCGACCTCCTAACTTGACCCTTGAAATCAGTGTCAAAATGGTATGTTTTGCACGCGATAAGCTGACCCCACAAGACTTAGCGATGGCCAGCTCACACCACCAGACATTTGGCAGTTGGATGTAAAACGTACACAAGCCGACCCCACACCACAATACATCTGGCAGTTGGATGTAAAACGTAAGTAGAGGCGCTCTCCTCATGGCGTTGGATTTAGTGAATGTATGCTTTCCATCTACCATCCATTCTGACCACTTTTTCCGAATGTTCATCTTAAAAGGTTTATTCAAGGACACGTCTAGTGGCTGCAGGAGTGATGTACAGTCGCCAGGTATAACAGCCTGGTGTGTTTTCTTCTCCACTACGTTCTTTTTCACAGACGCGCACAAATGGGCCAAGAACATGTCCCATACCAAAAGCGACTTGCATCCTCAGATGCAACCTGGTCTCGCACACCACACATCCTCGATCCATCTGTTCACCAAAGTCTCATCCATCCATCCCTTGGGATGTACCGCCACAATAACCCCGGTCGGGAATTTTTCCTTCGGCATTGTTTTCCTCTTGAATACTATCATGGGCTTAAGTTTTGTACCATCCACCATACATGTCAGCACTACCGTGAAATGTTGCTTTTCATTTCCAGTCGTTTTCACAGAAATTGTCTTTGAGCCTTTCACATCCATGGTCTTTGAGCCAGGCATATCAAAGCTCAGAGGCGTTACGTCCATGTTTCCAATTTGTGATAGATCATAGTTGATTGCCTTCCGTTCTTTAATCACAAATGCGTGGAATAAATCCACCTTAGTATTCACCTGATCCAGACGTTTCTGGGCAATATGTGTTCTCTCCCTTAGGAACAGATTTCTCCTTTTCATGAAACGCAAGCACCATGTTGAAGACGCTTTTAATGACAAGGGCAAGCTGAATTCTTCTTTCTTGGCCTTGTACAGGGTCAGTGCTCGATGGCAAATCATATTTCTCGTGACGATTAAGCCAAGTTGTCGCTTCTCCAGTACCCACTCAGTCACCATATCTTCAAGCTTAACGAAGGGGGATACAGTAAATCTCCTTGATCTCTTGTTCTTAGGCATCTGATTTAAGGATGCCTTTTCTTTTCTCCAGTTTCTCACTTGCTTCTCGTTTACGTCAAATTCTCGTGCAGCAGCACTGTTGTTTGTTGTCTCGGCTAGAGCGACAACTCGCAGCTTGAAGGCAGCATCGCAGCATTCTTTTAGAACTCATGAAGAGACTGTCATTTCCAGACGTTATGCACACTTTTATACCTATGTGCATTACCCGTTAACTCACCAATTTCCTTGATACGTCTCCAGAACATCAAACATTGCTGCCACAATAATACGTTAATACATTCATACTGTATAAACTATAAAACACACTGAACATACATCATTTACTCATCAAACATAACCGCCAATCATTTTCTCAAATGCTTAATGCGTTAATCCTTTCATACTGTATAAACTATAAAACACAGTGAACATACATCATTTATTCATCAAACATTACCGCCACAACAATGCGCTAATCCTTTCATACTGTATAAACATAAAACACACTGAACATACATCATTTACTCATCAAACATGTTTTCATACATATAAACTAAACACACTGAACATACATCATTTATTCATCAAACCAGTCTACAATAAAACCTGGGGTTTGAGTGAGTATAGTCATTTGTCCAGTCTATTAGGGTTAAAAATCAAACAACAGTTTTAAAAATCAAACAACAGCACGACAGGGGACACCAGAAATAGGCTTCACACATTGTATCCATGTGGGGAATTGAACATAGGCCTTTGATGTCATGGGCAAACACTTAAACCACTAGGCTGCCCCACCAGGAAACTTACTTTGTCTTAATATATAATCCTGAATAAATTCACATATGTTCCTGTGCTGCCCGAAGGACACAAGATGTCACAAACGTTGACAACAGTGACAGACATCTGAGTAATAAAAACTGAATATTGCAAGCACATTTGCACACAAGCAACTCAAAACTAATTCTGATATTTTTCACACATTTAATGCAAATGACCAGTCTAAGTACAGTTAGCATCAGTATTATTCGTTATACTGCTATACTCAGTCTAACAAAAACCCTAGTAGAAGGTCGCGTCAACTAACCTTTGAGCGACCTATGACTGTCCAATCAAAAGCAAGACGGACAGATTTAACCAATCAGACAATTACTGCTGGTTAGGGTTCAAATGTAGATTGAAATAGCACGGCGGAGAGATGAGAGATTAAGAACCTGAACCAGAGGAAGTCTGGACTTGCTTCATTTAGGGCTTAAGCATTGCAGAAAGGGCTAGCCAGAAGGGAAAATAATGTGGTTCAGGGACTCTTTCTACTACGGTGTGAAGTAGAGCTGAAGCTTGCAATGATAGGTTAATATCCCAAAACTATTATTACTGCATAATTTACGGCAAGGAGTAAATTCTCTGAAAGGTAAAACCAAAAGTTAGGAAGATGACTAATCTTCAACTCCAATTTCTACTCATAAGCAAAATACTGAATAAACATATGCAATCATCACATCGTCCACACAAAAATACATATATATATATACAAACCAGAGGAGGTCTTCTTGACAGGTGACCACTGTGGACTAATATCTCGCCTTGTCTTCTTCACTACCCGTGTACTTGACCGTTTAGCAGTGGTCACCTGAGGGTGGTCCCCTTCCCATCATCCCCTGTAACCTCAGGCACATCGACCTTAGTCGATTGCCGTATGCGCCTATCTGCACTGGTTGAATTTGGGCTGACATTTTCCTCCTCTTGACAACCTTTTTCCTCAGCAGTGGATGGTGCTACCCTGCAAACAAATATGGTTTCTGGATCACATGGTGATAGACATTTCTTTCCGTTTCAGCCTTCTTAATCTTACTGCCGCAATATAGCTGGAATATTGCTGAATGCGGCATAAAACTAAACTCACTCACTAAAACTTAATCTTACTGAATAGGCCTTGACTAAAATGATCCAGTAGTAAGTTTTACATTGCTGTTAGCAATATTCCAGCAATATCACAGCGGGTGACACAAGAAATGGGCTTCACATATTGTATCCATGTGGGGAATTGAACCTGGGGCGTTCAGCGTGAAGAGCGAACACTTTAACCATTTGGCTACATCACCTCCCATTTCTCGATTGAAAGGGTTAAACTGACTGACTGACTGACTGAGTTTGGTTTTACGCCGCTTTTAGCAATATTCCAGCAATATCACGGGGGGGAACACCAGAAATGGGCTTCACACATTGTACCCATGTGGGGATTCGAACCCGGGTCTTCGGCGTGACGAGCCAACGCTTTAACCACTAGGCTACCCCACCACCCCGAAAGGGTTAAACAAAAAGGATTAATTACTATTAGCACAAAGTGATCTTAGATTTTTGATAAGTGTTTTATCAATGCCGTTAAAGCACATTCAAACATAATATTTTGCACATCTTATTAACTGACATTATGCAACTGATCAGGGGCATATGTAAAATGTAGACCTATGATTATGGACAAGGGGTTACTATGTGTGACCAACCCGACTGTCATTTTAACCCAACTACAAACTTACTGTGCCACAAAATAACATTCACTCAAACTGCCATCCAACTACTTTATAACATATTTATAAATTTAATATTTATATCAATAATTCGATAATTACTTTGATAATAACTTTGTCACAAAATGTGTAATAGAGAACATAAATGAGACTTTTGATTTCGTGCCGTTATGATATATAGTGCCGTCAGTAAACATTCTTACTGAATCAACGTGTGAAACATTATTCCATTTACGCATTGTTATTCATTACAATTCATATCCTCTTACACATGACATAAGTGGATAAGTATGACACGATTGAAATATAAAAGGTAATGAAAAATTAGAACAAATTTATGCCAGTATCCGTAAAGTAGTAGATCATATGTTCCTGTGTAATGGGACGAAATTAATGTGGACGGTGATAGTTATATCCCTACGTGTCAAAATTACAATAAATGCTTGGCAGAAAGTTGTCAAGTTGTGTGAATTATTACAAAATGGTATGGTAAAATTGTCGATAAGATTTCACGAACAATAAAGCGAGGACACTGTAAAAGTGCTAATTTAGTTTTGTTTACTTCATGCAGATTGACCTCCTCACAGATCCGATTCAGCGCCCGGGCTGTTCAAAAGATCCGCGTTTACGATCGACCCGCCCTCCTCGCAGTTACCGCGTTACTTGTTGTCAATATTAAGAATTAATACATTGCACAATCTTACGATACACAATTTATGTCGAATGGGGGGTAGATGAAGTAAGAAGGCGTCAAAACAAAAACAAGGATCTCATTACCGATAAAGTAAAATTCAACATGGCTGCCATAACGAAAATTGCGACCAAGCAACACTGAAAATAATTTAGCCGAAAACAATTTTGCTTAGATGTTATAATGCACATTAACATGGCCATTAAAGTACAAGCATCCCTTAGACGAATCGTACGCAATATTATGACAACAGACAGTTTGGTAGCTTCAGAAATTGAAAGAAAACATGTCGTGTTCTGAGATGGCAATATGGCGCTAGACAATTTCACAAACGAAACATTACCGACTTCCAACACCGTCCCGAACACTGTTTTCATCCTGAGAAACTTTCCTTCGTTTTCCCGGTGGCATATACACTGATTGTACGCAACCTTGGCACACGTTTCTGTCTACATAATTTCACAAGTGTCCTCAGATGGCCTGTGACTAAATCCCGTCAGTCAACAACTCGGCAGCGGCGGCTAACTGGCTTCTTTCTTCCGATGCACAGTGATGATATTTAAAAGAAAAGATAAATCTACATCTTCCAAACTATGTTTAACTGCAGAACAGTATGAACCATTTAAGGACAGTATAAAATAAGCTAAGTTCGCCGATATGATATCAACTAAACATAGTTTGAGATCCCTCTTTTGTTGTGTTCGAACATGACAAGTCCTAGTGCCCAAGTACAAGGTCATGTGACAGATTTCTCAGGTTTGGATATTGAAATAAAAAATATAACAATTACACTTGTCATTACACCTATTCATTATTACACTTGCGTAATGATGTTTTAAAGTAGGCGAGGAAAGAAAAATAAGAGAAATCTTTGTATGGGAAGTTTTCAATGAAATTTCGGTTTTCGCCTTCTGACTATATCACACGATATTGCTTGGGTTCAAGGGGAAAGATATTGATGAAGACACCAAATTAATTAAGCCTTCACTTAAATTACAAAATTCATCTTTAGGTGCATATACAAAAACCGAAATAAATATTTTCCCCGGTTATAAATAACAATTATCAGTTCAAATTATTTTACTTTTCGATGTAGAAAACGCAAAAAACGTTCAAAATATTATAGTTGAAAATGTATTGCGGTGATCAGTTTGACCAGAAATCGCCCCCACAGATTAATATAAATCGATAACTCTTATTCTTTCATATACCTTTCTTCATTATATATTGGCTAAACACATATGGTACTATGACGATTCTATTTCAAGTGCTTACTATTTACTCCTGTAGATAGAGTATATGCACTATGTCAATGTCAGTTCATGTATTTAGGTTTAAATATTGCGATAAAACCCAGTTTACTGAATAATACAACGTTGACAAGAGAGCTAGTGTTTCTGTGAAATGTTTTTCCAACATATCTCATATATTACACAGTAAACAGCTTTCCTGGGACCGATTTTGTTTTGTTTTCGTGGCAGAGGACCGGCAAAGTAAGGATTGTTGTCATTTGACTTGGCGGGAATCACACAGGGGAATCCCAAGCGTTGATTGGTCAATGAAATCACATGATTGGAAAACTCCCCTTATGCCCGCCCACTATTAAAATAGAAACAGTAGTTAACGAAATCAAGTAATGCGAAATGATAGAATTCTGAATTATTGTCAAAACCGTTAACGTCGTGTTTGATACAAGTGGAAGAGAGGGACAATTTCCGACATATATTATTTTGACGTTCGTATTTGTAACGAAGAATCTGATTGGTCAAAGCGGAAAATGTTCATTGTAAACAAAGATATGCATATACGCTCAAACGAAGCACTGTCCTTGTATCAGATACTGACACTGTAAACTATCCCAATAGTGCATTATCTTTGCCATTTCCCCTTTCCCTTTTCAACAAATGTCAAGCGACACAGACACCAGTCCAGCTGGAATAAATTGTAAACTACTTTCTTGACCACCGATAAAAGGCTGATTTGAACGACACAGGTGTCTGCTGGGCAGTTCACAATAGATATTCTATAACTTCGTGTTTTTTGTTATAAATTCCATCCTCACATGTGAAGATTAGTTATAGTTCACAAATAACCTTTACATTAAATACCAGCAATGGGTGTATTTTTCAACAGGCGTTTCACTGCCAAACGCATGGCCTTCAGCTGATGTACCAAAAACAATTTGCTATACACAATGGTCTGGAGTAATCTAAGATTATATATTCAAAAGTATAATAGTACAGATTTAGGTTTTATGTATGAAATTAACAGATTTAGTCATGATCTAAATATATAATAACATAGTCGGGTAAGTTTATCTAATCTTCAACGACGCTCATATACTCGTGTACAAACGATTCAAATTACCATTAAGACACATAAATGGTTAACTCAAAGCTATATCTAAATTTTTATTTATGTCGTGTAAGTCATGGTTTACACTGCAATTTTGACATACAGTTTCCACTGACTCCGTTATCTTTCTTGAAGAAGGTGTTGTAAAATATACTAACTTTGCGCAAGGACTAGTGGACTCATTATCGCGGTCGTTGCCCATGAGCTGATAAGGAATGCAATTCACCAATCAGCCGAATTGAAATAAAGAAAACAACAGGATTAACCGACGTTGAACAGCGCGGCTGTTTCGTTGCTATGTTACATCTGCATGGATAATGTATATGGAAGTTTAATTTTTTGTCGTTATTTATAAGAACAGAAAAAAAGGGAAATGGATATAATGCGGGTTTATTCATCCACCTTAATCTATGACCAACATCGATCAAATTTATATATATCCACGACATGAGATTTTTATGTTTTATCAACAGAAGCCTGTTTGCTTTCATTTCAGTTGGAGGTTGTTGTCACGAAGACAGTACCATCAAACGGAATGTAATGACATCACACAGGTGTGCGTGAAATTCGAAAGGTTGGTGAGCGAGACAGTCATCAAGCTGGTTGTGAGTTACGTTGCTGGAGGTTTCAGCAGAATAGTTATTGAGTAAGACATTAGGGACAGCGAATTCTACATTCCACGTCAAAATGACTACGACAACGAAAATGAGCGGACTGGCCGACAGTGAAAAGCCATCATCGAGGTGAATATTCCGTAGTTTTGTGACATACAGCAGATTATGTATGAAAGACGGGTAAGCATGGCTGCCGTGTGACTGCCTACTTCCTGTGAAATCGATGATATGTACAGTTCATGTAAATGTTTATATATTGGATTAGCACTCTGTCTCAACTTGGCTCTGATTGCTTGGGAATGTAATGCATACTGGGGTGACCTACTTACATTGTCAGAATATTTAGCGGCTGTGGCTAAACTGTCCCAGAGAATGTCATCCGGATTTTCAATCAATTATGACATGACTCATCAGCTGATCACAATCGGCTTTTACTTATTGGTCACATTAAAACATTTACGTCATAATATTATGAAGTTACGATGAGAAATCTTGACATTATGGATCTTCACAGATTTTGCCCTGCATTCCCTTCACAATGATCGGACTTGGTTAGACATGTTAGTGTTTTTTGTATCCAGCAACCCGCAACTCATAAGAGGGTAATCGAGGCGACTTGGTCGACATGTCATTCACCCGCAACAGCGATTGTAGATCATGATATAAACGATAGGGTTATCTGGTTCACGCTCATTATTCACATGCGACCCTCGTGGAGCTGGCATATTGCTGAGTGTAGCGTTAACCCAACAGTCCCATGCAATAGAAGGAGTCGAGAATAAGGCTTTTCAAATAAACTATTTAGGAAACCGTATGCTCATGACTGCTAAATATATGATCGAAGAAATGAATATATTATGCTAAATGTAATGTTACTAAAGGACATGTTAGATGCACTTGATTGAGGAGATTAATGTCTTGACATATTATTCACTGGTAATTACCTCTGTCACATCCTCCTTTGACAAAGGAGGTAATGGTGTAGCCTAACAGTTAAAACGTTGGCTCGTCATGCCAAAGACACAGGTTCGATTCCCCACATGGGTACAATATGCGAAGCTCATTTCTGGTGTCCCCTGCAGTAATATTGCTAGAATATTGCTAAATGTGGCATAAAACTAAACTCACTCATTCATGCCTCAGACTAATGTACTGTTAGCCATGTCTTGATAAGACTGATAGCCATGATGAGATTTGTAATATTAAAAATCTGACAACTTTCCATAGGAGGGTAGACTATTAAATATCCCCATGACAATGCAACTTTCATTATTGATATTCATCGTTTGTTTGATGCAGACATTGGATTAGCTGCTCTGGGTTCTGATCCACAGAGCTTTTTCAACATTGGACCTATAAAACTATATAGTTTATCATGGGTTTGCAAATATTTTATTGCTACAAACACCTTTTGGATTGGGCCCTGAATATTGTGCTCATTTGTATGAGCACAGTAAAGCTTCAAGGCCCATTGTCAGGTCAAAACTTTCAACAGCAGCCTCAACCTCATGTTTGAAGAATGGGGTTTGGGTGGTCACCTTTGTGATGTGACCAATTTAGATTTTGTGTGACGTTTATCATTGTGTAGCGTGTATTATTTACAACCACAATGCTGACATGAAAGAGTAAGCCTTACAAATCACCTTAAATTTAAAGTTTGATGCTGATAAACATTTCTAACCTGGATCTTCACAGGTTCACCATAAAAGTGACAAGCCTCGATTATCAATTTGCGATATGACTGGTTTTTGTTTTTCAAAACAGAGTGCTGAGGCCCCCTGGAGGAGGATCCAGCGACATCTTCGGAACGGCTACTGCCCCTGCATCTGCTCCTCGACAGCAAAACCAACGGAACGGATCCAACATCTTCGGCGGCCCAGAGGAGCCCTCCCCATCACGTTCCCAAGCCAACAATTCTAGCACTCAATCCAATTTATTTGGAATGGAGCCACATGTTCTGGCAGGGAAAGGCCGCAATCAGAGTAGGGGTACCTGTAGCTTTTGCATGTCTTCTTACCTATCGCAACAGTTCAACAGAAGGTGGCTGCCCAATGGATCATCTGCCTTCTGGTGAAAGACGTAACCTCTTCACACCAATCAGAGCAGTCTTTGCAGAAATCGTGGAATTTGATTCTATATCAAACATCAACAAGATCAAGCTAGGGGTGGACAAGATTGATTTTACGAAAAGACTTGTTCGAGTCTTGATCTGCAGCAAATCCTGTTTTAGGGAGCAAACAGGCTTATTATTTTAATACATTTTTTTTCAACTTGTTTGATTCAGGAAAATTTACCATCTTGCACTGTGCATATTTATAGTAACCATGGTAACATTGCAGAATCATTGGCAGATACATTACTAATCTTGATGTAAGGAATTTCTTTTTGTTGTAACATTGGGATATGGGCTTAACATGTGAACATATTTTTGTATGTTCTGAGGAAAGGTGCTGTTGATTGGTAGGTGTGACGGTGACTGCTTTGTTCTGTAGATATATTGATTGTACTTCGCACTATTTCCCTGCACCTGCACTGTTGCATGCATTTAGTGTTTCTAGTGTAGCTTTAGTGGAATGTATGTAGTGTTTAGAGAACAGCTTCAGTACCTTAACATAGTGTCTCCTGTACAACTGTTTCTCCGGTCCCATATTTTTGACAGCTTTTGATGTGGACTTTGGTTTTGTGGGTATATTCCATGTCACTGATGCTTCTTGCTGACACTCAACTTTGTTGGTATAGTAATACCTGATATTGCATGATGTTTCTGGGTTCTGTACAATGCAGAAATGTTCATCTAGTGCACACAAACACAGCTTCGATACAGAAAAAAATAAGTATTCTTTGTACCAAATTCTAAGCAAGAAAATGGTTCCTAATACCAGGGATGGCAATTTTCCGCTGATCCATGGATTTCCCCCGATTTTATTCAAATTGATGAATTCTGTGAATAGTCTAAATCCATTGAGAAATCCTGAACCCATGATTCGATGACACAGTATTAAGTTTTAAGCTGAAAATAGATTTTCCTGTTGCCATCCCTGTATTGCAAACATAATTATAATATCTGTAAGTTGTGCGTACCGGACATTATGCTTAACTGCACCCTCAAATAGTGTCAGGACCCTTGAAATTGGTAATGTGGTCCTCTAGACCCTTAGTTTTGTAGGTCAAGGTAAATCAGGGGTGGAAATAACTTTAAAATTGCTAGTGTACTCCGGTACAGTGGCACATGTAAAATCACTTGCCCTGATAATTTTTCCACTATAGAGTTGGTTTTTCAAAATAAAATATAATTAACATTGGAAAGTCAACTGGACACCTACAGTGTGATACCATCATGAATGCCCGTCGACAGGATAAGAAATTTCAATTTTTGTGCAAGTTTCCTTTAAAGGGCAAATTCATGATTGTATGTGCAACTATAGAAAAAGGTCTTGGAATACTGGCACAATATCTATAATATCATGTTTTTAAGTATTGGACACCTTCATAAGTTTCTTTTAGGGGCAAATGATGAATGTATGTGCCACTGCAAAAAGGCCTTGTCCAGTGGTAATATCTATATCATGTTTTTAAGTATTGGACATCTTCATATACACTGACATATGACTCGGTAGCATTTCATGTTTCACTGAATGGTTGTCAGCGAGCATCCTGTGATGGGTAGTTAAAGTAGGTCATTATTTGCTTTGTGAACCGTCTGTATAAGCATGGTACTCGTGAATCAGCCTGCACCTTTATCTACACCCAGAAGCCCACGCCTTTCATGTATCTGTTTTGGTGTAAACATTGCAAAATGTTTGAGTGTGTGATCTGCTACGTTATAAAACAGTGTGGACTCAGGTGGAAGGTCTGGTGCAGAGTGATTTGTTACTGGTTGTCTGGATAATATGAAAGCATGGGTAACTGTGTATCCTTTCTTGCATGACAGACCTCAGGTAGATTTGCCCCAGGGACTTGACCTCTGCCTGTAACAGCACTGGGCTTGGCTGTAGTATGTGTATTAACATTTGGAGTACTCGCATTTGATGACTAATTACTTCCAAACTGAAAAAGACAATTTGAAAAATGTTTTATTTAAAGAGATCTCATCATTGTAGACATATTTTTGGATTTGTGTCCCTTTCAAAAGTTGTCATTTTGAATGCTTTGGGTTCAACTTGAATGTTTAAGATTAGGTCACCGTGACCTACATCCCATGATCAAACTGAAAACAATTAGTATCAACAGTTTGTGCTGCTATAGGACATTAGAAGTACTTTGTTCTAAACTGTAGTACAATCTTTAGGCAAGGTGACGGTGGGGTAGCCTAGTGGTTAAAGCGTTCGAAGCCCAGGTTCGATTCCCCACATGGGTACAATGTGTGAAGCCCATTTCTGGTTTCCCTGCCGTGATATTTCTGGAATATTGGTAAGAGAGGAGTAGAACCATACTCACTCACTCTTTAGGCAGGTTATCGCTATGTATTTGGTCTTATTTTGATGTGAAGGTTTGGATTTTACCCATGTGTTTTAAATAAATTTAAGAGAAACAGGATCCAAGGACACATATTCCGTGAAAGGACGTCGGGCAGTTAAGGTCATTAAATGTCCCCAAATCTATATGGTTTGTTGTTCATTAAGCCAACCTCTGGGGTCAGGTTTGTAGCAAATTATTATGATGGCTTGCCAAATCTTTATTTATTTTATTTTATTTTATGCTTTGAGTTTAGTGCACCATCAATACTCTTTCTCACTATCCATAGTTAGTTGTATTACTTATACTATTTGTAGCACTTTTTTCTCAAAAATATTTTGCTAAGTGTACTGTGAAAAGCTGATTATAAGGCTATATCCAACTCATAAGAGTAATTATTGTAAATAAGAGGTAACATAATTTCAAGGTAAAGCGACTAATAACCATCAATATCAATTTAATTTGGATTTATTGACATTTCAAACAGCCCCATACAGCATTATTCATGGTGTATCTGTTCTGGTTTCCAGGCAAGTTCAACCCCATCACTGGAGAACCCTATGATAATGTTGAGTCTTCCCCTGCTGCGTCCCCAGCAGCTCCGGCAGTGACACCGCAGCAGCAGCAACAGCCACAGGTGAGAATGCCTTTTCTTCAGCACAATACTTGCAGTATTAGCTGTGTGAAAGTGAATTTGTCCCCAGTGACATATCATTAACATTAGAGGCATCTAAATTGATGGTATGGTGATTTATACCCCTGTGATTTATGAAACTGGCTTTAATTTTAGTCACAGGTTTGTCTCTGGTCAGCTATTTATGAGCTGTGAGATTATTGCTGACTTGGCATTAAATAACAATATGTTGGTGCCCATAGTTATAACTGAGAATCTCCATGAATAGAATGGGTAGCCAAGTGGTTATACATAGTGTTCACTCAGCCATGTCAAAGGTCTTGGTTTGTACCAGAATGAGAAGCCCATTTTTGGTGTCTCCTAATGTTGAATGAATATTTCTGAAAGTGACTTAAGACCATAATCACTCATTTCGATAACGATATCCGACACAAGAAACTTCGATCTGTAATGCTTCCAAGTTTGTTTAGGATTATTTGACAGAGGTTGTAAATTACTGTTCTTGATTGGTTGTGATGTTTTTATGAGTAAAGTTGCAATCAATGTCAGCATCTTTTATGAAAGCTGAGTCCATCAATAAAAACCAGTGTTTTAAAAATGGACCAGGTCATTCAATAGAAAGCAAATGAAATAATCTTATATTAACGAGTACTCCACTGGCAATGTGTTATTTCTATGAAACTGAAGTTCTAACAAGTGAGTAAGTATGGTTTTATGTTACTTTTAGCAAAAGCACGGCGGGGGACACCAGAAATGGTCTTTACGTATTGTACCCATAGTCTTTGTCTTTGGCATGACGAGCAAACGCTTTAACCACTAGACTACCCCACCATCCCCTGTTTTAACAAGGTTAATGACACATGTCACTAACACCTAATAATGCCCTATATTATGTTTCAGACGGCCAGTCCCTCAGCTGCTGCTTCAGAACAAACTGGAGGTGGTGACGGTGCACTTCAGGCCAAGGAGGGCAAGGCACAGCCAGCTGTGCACACCTCATCCCGAGTTCTCAACCCTCCAGGGGGTGTTGCCCACAAACTGTGGTGAGCTCGAGTTCGGATTCCCGGCCCTCTTGGTGCATATAGCTTGGTCACTGGAGCTGGCTGCTTCCTGAAGGAGCCCAATCAATGACATGGATGTATCATTGTATAAACTACTGAAGCCACAACTCCAAGTCTGTCAGGATTCCAGCTCAGTTCATGTTGGTTTCTGTTGAGTTTGAGAAAATAGCTTGTATATTATGATTTCTGTTACTGTTCTTTCATACCTGAATTTTTATGAAGATTGACATATACACATGCTTTGCTCTTTGAGTTTGGATGAACTGTATTTACCCTGGGTTTGGATCAAATCAGCATGTTTTAAGCTTCTGTAAACAATGCCTCATATTTGATGATTTCAGTCGGTGCCTCATCTGGCTACAGTGATGATAAACAGTGCCAACTGTTCTAATATTTTCATTGAATTGTTGAACTATAAGTTCTTGCCATAAACATTTTACATGTGAAGTCTTCTCATTGGAAACGCTTTCAGTGTTCATTGACCTCGAGTGCAGCAGTGTTTGAGAGTGGCGTATTAACACGAAAGGGTTTTATTACTCAACCACAGGCAGGGTCTGCTCATGCTTCCATACAATTTGTATTTGCACGTTTTTGCCAAAAGGGATCAATTTGTGTTTACTTCATATGATTTTCTGACCAATATTGGGCATTAGATAGTGCTGGTATTGGGGCTGCAAATATTTGACAGAACCAGCAGCCTCAAGGAATAGGGAGTTTGGAATGTCGTTATTTTGATTTCATTTGTTACATACTTTTTAAGTCAAATGAGAAACTATTGGAGGTTGGGTTTAAACCACAGTGGAAATATGATGAATTGTAAATAACCCACAAAGTTTTTACCTCGAAGGCACAGTATAACATACTTTCTATTCAACCATGTCATTTCAGTTTTGCATGTTCATAATTTCCAAGAATATTTTCATGACAAATGTTCCTGATCAATTCACCATGACAAGGTCCACAGCTGGTTTTCAAGAAACTAAATTTCATTTCATTCAGTGGCCATATTGTACAGTTATGCTTACTGTAAACTGAATGTTGATGGTAGGATCCATAATGACTTCCTGTGACAAGGAAGACTTTGTGACTGTCTCGCACCTTGTGCAATATGACTTAAGTTTCTCATCTCCAACTGCGTTTAACATCAAATTGCACAAAACAACTAAGTTCGATCTCTGAATGTGCATTCCTCTTCTGTTTCTTAATGTGAATCTGCCATCTACTGTTCCACATCTGTCAACCGTCATGTCTATATTTTCTGTAATTTTTATGCATATATCATATATTTATTTAGCCATTGTAAAATAGGAGATGTCAGTGACACAATGGCATTGTTATGAAATATTTTCTGTCAAATACTGTTTTCTTGTCTGTCTACGGTGATATGTGGGTCGGTATGTAAACTTGGATTTGCGACGTTTTCTGCTGAGGGTGCAAGCTCGACCAGAAAACAGGGCAGCCAAACTAGAGTTGACTGCCCTAACTGTCATTGTCTGTCTCTACTTTGCTATCCTCAATAAAACTATACATCGTACAGCACTCAGAACTCGTTTTGTTATATTTCAGAATTGAAATTCCAGATGTGTTCACATTGCAGGTGAAATCTTTTAGAAAACTGATTTGGGTTGATACTCATATTTGATTTCACCATTCAAAGATAGGCATGCTAAAAGTACCATTGACAGATCGAACACACCTTTCATATAATAAGAGAGCTTTATGATACTATATATTGTAACCTAAATCAAATGGCAGTCTTGTTTTAAGTCTGTCCTGATGACAATCTATAACCAGTAAATTTACAATTTGTATTTTAAGTTTTATATTTCATTTTGTTGGTTTTGATATTCTGTGATAGAGCTTAATGGAAATGACCTACCTTTTGGCATGATTGCTTCAGCATTAGGTTTAGCAGATTGATCTTTTTCTTCTTCTTTTCGTTTATCTTTTACATACCATTTCAATAAAAAATAACTGTGCAGCAGCAAATAAGGAAATAAACTGATTTCCACTGCCCCATTGTATGTTTTTCCTTTTAAGGTTATACAAACAAGTAGAGAGTGCTGTAATCATCTTGAGACTCAAGCACAGATACTACCTTTGGGGGAACTGTGGATAATTTAAAATAGAAATACAACGACAATTCAGCATGAAATTTTATGCCAGTTCTCATTTTTTATGTTGAAAACGTAACACAATGATTTTCTTCTGTCTATTAGCATGATCAGGGTGATTCATGACCTCCAGGTACGCACCCTGCACCCCTGTGGATCCATGTTTGAAGGCTGTGCAGGGTTCAAGTATGTACTATTTTCAGCTTACCCATCCCCGTGCTTCTGTAAACATTCAAACCAGTCCACGCAGTTTGAACTTGAGGAGGGAGCAGCTAGACATCTTGACCTTTCCCCATGTAAACTGGTCCTATTGCTGTTGGTCCTTACACTGTGCAAAGAAAGTAGAAATAGCCAAGTTGAACTTAATTAAGCGTGTGTTTTAAAGTGTAGTGAAGTTGGGAATTTCAGACTCGGTTACACACGAATTCTGACCAGCCCCTTACATTCTATGGATAATGATAACTTTGGTGACATAATCTCAACTTTAAGTTCACCCAGGATCTGCTGTCCGTTTAGCATCAGAGATTCGACCTCATTGTGATGTCGGCACAATGTCGGTGCTCGTTGGTCTCACCAAGGTGAAATGTCGTGGACAAGGGATTTATTTATCCTACTTCCGACGTGACAGAAGTCCTTCTACAAGGCTTCCCTCGAAAGAAATTTGCAGATTACATGCTATTCTGCTCGGAGCTGGGCTTGGAAGTGACGATACAAGGTCTAGTCGACCCGGAGTCTTTATGTTATGTTTTTGTTAAAAATGGTATCTCCAGCTCTATCCAAGTCCGGCTAAAGGAAGATGAGTACGCGCGTGTCCACACGCAATTCCCGCGCCAACTCCCCCCTCCCCCCTGCTGAATGAAAGCGTGAGACATACATCTACTACCTCATCGCTTCACGATACACCACGTAGAGTTAACTAGTGTAAAACATATCCCCGACTACGTTCGGTGGTCGTATAAGGCGACATAATTCCTAATCGTGGCCAGGTTCTGTGACTTGACAAATTCCCAACATGGGCCGTTACTCATGACAGTGACGTGATTGTCTGGTCCTAACTCAATTATTTACAAGTCCTCGTCAAATGGCCATAATATTGTAAAGTGTGGTTTTAAAAACAAACGTAAACGTAAACAGGACCTTGTACATTTTTAACACCAACAATTATGATCAGGAATAGCATATTTAACGTGTTCCCCAGTCTTGAATCCCGAGCTGGTATTAATGCGGTTAGTTTGATTGCTCCATGTAATTATCCTCTGTGATCCCAATCTTTGTTTCACGTGTAATCACTAAAGCTGTTTGTTCGGGTCTTCTTGAAGTGTCTTCATACAGGACAAGGGCTAGTATTTGCCGTTACCGAGCGATGGCAAATATTCACAGTTGGTTCAACACAAACAGGTTCTTCCACATGCTGCTCGGTAATTTTACACCTTACATATTTATCTGGGCAGGAGCGCCCTATATGCCACATTAATGGGCTCGTTGAGGGATCATTGGGATGAATATGGACGCCGAGGGACATGTCACATGCGTCATGAGTTGTTGCTGTCCCAGGAAATATAATACTGTTTTCACTCATTCGTTACCGTGTTCAAGGTTCAATGGTCATGTGGTAAAGTCTAAATTCTAAGGCCCAGCGCCCTGTTGTACAAAACAACTAGTCTGTCTCACAGTCCCTGAACCACATTATTTTCCCTACTACCAAGCTCTCTCTGCAGTGCTAAAGCCCTAAATGAAGCAAGTCTAGATTTCCCCAGGTTCTGAATCTCTGGTCTCCCTAGGGCTCCTTTTCAATATAAATGGGCTTGTTTGTTACTATCAAAATTATATATATTCAGAGACTAAGCCTTAGTCTACAAAACAACCAGAGACCATATATCGGTATATGGTCTCTGAAAACAACCAACTATCTTAAGTTTATGTCAAGGTATGGGAGCGGTACTTAAGGTTGTACAACGGCACTACCTTATCAACAAAGGTTATTTACGTGTTAGTTTTCAAGTCTGAAGGTGTAGGGGTCTACTGTCCACTTATCTAGACTTGCATCTTTTAAAGGATAGAATTACTATACATCCATGGGCTCAGCCTTCGGTGCAGCCTTGGAGCAAGCCTAGGGTATATAAACTGACGGACGCAATAAGCGGACAGGTTGCACAAAATGGGAAGGCGCCACAAAACCGTAAGGCCGAGATCCACGAAACAATTTGAAATGTTATGTTTTAAAATCTGAAGGTGTGGGAGAATATACTGACGGAAAAAATAGACTATACACTGACGGGCTAACTGTAAGGGGACAGTTGCACAAAATGAGACTCTCCACCAAATCAACCTAACAACTTCGACTGCTGCGAGGGACCCCTTTCACGAAAGAAGTAGTTTCTTCAAATAAACCTTTACGCCTCGGCTGCGTGGGACCAGTTGGAAGTCGCTACAAATTAACATTAATGCTTCGAGTGCTTGGGTTCGGTTGAACAAACTCAGCTCAGTACTACGTCTACATCGGTCATCACAGTCGAGGGACCGGGTGCACAAAATGTTGCTGCGAAGGACCGCGGGTGCAGAGAGTGCTCAGTTGAAACTTCCGACTGAATATACTTATGATTATGTAACAACTGTTATGGGGTTGTTTATACAAAATATAAACCCAATACGATTGTAGTGGTACCGGTTGCACAAAGTAGCTTGTATGCTACCATACGCCGAAGCCCAGCTGGGCCCCGTTTCACAAAGCTCTCGTAAGCCTAAGATCTCGAAACTTTTCTCGTAGCATTCGTGCTTCCTATATACTGTAACATTGACTTACGATAGTCGTAGCGCTACGAGAGCTTTGTGAAACGGGGCCCAGGGTTGGAGTCCCCACTTGTGTGAAGCCCATTTCTGCCGTGATATTGCTGGAATATTGCTAAAGGCGGCTGTAAACAATACTCGGTCAGTATACCGGTTTCAAGAGTCAAATTCAACAGATTTGCTCATAGCATGCACGTACTCACACATTTTATAGATTTGTGACTGGAAGAAAAGGGAGAGAGAAGACATTTCAACATTGCCATTGGCGCAACAATCCATGGCGTCCAGCGTACTGATCTACGGCACAGGTAACTGGGAGCGGATTCGAAAGGGTGATGCTCCCTCATTAACACGCCGTCTTGATAGGTCCAAACGTTTCACGACATTAAAATTTACTCTCAGTCTTCTTGGCTGCATTGAGTGAGTGAGTTTAGTTTTACGCCGCACTCAGCAACATTCCAGCTTTATGGCGGCGGTCTGTAAATAATCGAGTCTGGACCAGACAATCCAGGGATCAACAGCATGAACATCGATCTGCGCAATTGGGATACGATGACGTGTCAATCCAGTCAGCGAGCCTGACCGCCCGATCCCGTTAGTCGCCTCTTACGACAAGCATGGGTTACTGAAGATCAATTCTAACCCGGACCTTCACGGGTCTCGGCTGCAATGTCGCCAATGGGCATTGTATTTTCACTGTCTAGAGGAACTTTACTTTACTCGCGCCGCGATCTGACAGCGGAGAACCGAACAAGGTCATTCCGCAATATATTCTTTGATATTTCCGTGCTGGTGTCTTGGTCCCAGATCACCATGGTAACCCGTGCTTTCCGCTTCGCTCTCACTCCCTTGTGAATCTCCACGCCAAGTAAACCTTCCGGAGATTAAGAAAACAACAACGTGTTTCCAACATGGCTGCTTGGTACAAGTCGTGAACTACTTTAACTATTGCATTAAATATAAATGTTTTGAACTAATTATTGGTCGGTATGATATTTGTCTACAATTATGTACACGTAAACAGTACAGTTATACAGAGTGAACTGATGACTAGTCCCCCCTTGATATGAATTTCGCATTATACATATATTATTATTTGTCATTTTTTAAAGATTCAAGTTATGGTGTATTTTCATTCCATTCTCCATAAAAATAATGTATTTGTGTTTTGTTTAAACACTCGTTAAACTGTTTCCCAATCCCCTCTCTGACGCTCCCCTATCAGCTGAGAGTTTGTCTGACATAGGTCAGTGTGTGCAGGGTTGCGTCCCTTGGTCGCGCAAGGATCCGTACTCATGATGTGTTCGAATACCACATTTCCCATGCATGTATTTCTCATGATCGACACATTACAACATGAAATTAAGGTCAAATACACTTCCTCCTTATTAGCAGGTGCTTTTTGCTAGCCTGAAAATAGTGACCAAACAAAATATTTTTGCTCCAACAAAATCCCTTTTACGAATACAAATAGGACTTGCTTTAGATACGCAGTGGTATAAGTACTGTTCGAAATGGCGTACGTCACGAGTTTGGATGTACTCCCTTCAAGCAATTTTCTTTTCACACAGATGGAGCGGGGTTTACGGAATGGATTTCACACATTGAACCAACCCGTGAAGATCCGGGTTAGAATAGGTCT